CTTTGGAGGAGCTGGGTCCCAGCCGAGAAGGACTGTTGGGGACCCTCGGCCACCTCGCTGCTCTCAGGGAGCTTCAGTTCTCACCACAGGGGAGGTGATGTTGACAGCCCCCCCACCCCGCCTCCCCATCCCCATCCGCTTCACCAACAGAAGATAGCCCCGCGCCTCGGTGAGGACATTCTCATGTCCCCAGAGCGAGATGGTGCAGCGAGGAGCGGGGTTACAACTAGAAAGAACCTCCCGTTCATGCCTGTTCACGCGAGGAGTAGGTGCCCCCTGGGAGGCCCGGGAGTCCAGAGGCAGCGAGGGTCCGAGCCATGCGATGGGTGATGCGCCCTGCCCTGGCCGCTGTTCTGAACAGGCGGTGCAGTTCTCCAGCTCCCACCGCACACCTCACGGTACGCTGAGCGAGGAAGAGGAAGGACCGAGGGAGGCCGCGCCTGTCTCAGAGCCAGACCCAGCTGGAGAGACTTGGCCCACGAAAACCCAGGCCAAGCTCAAACTGCCCTAGGAATTCAGGGTGGAAGTTGGGCAGGCTTCACAGAAGAGGTGGTCTTGAAGCTAGGGCGGGGTTTGGGTTATAGTGAGAAATGGGAAGGTACTCCAGGTGTGGAGGACAGAGGGGCACAGGTAGGAGAGGGGCAGAGCGCGGGCCCCCCAGGAAAGGCCAGGGGTCGAGTGTTCGGTCTCAGCTGGTGATCGGGCTGGGGTGCCCTGGGAGGCTTGTCCTGGGAACACCCCACAGGCTCTCAGGTCTGTGGGATCTGGACCAGGGCCTCCGTGCTGCTCCCTCAGAGGCCATCAGCCCCCCCGTGCACCCAGGCCCCTTCGGCCATCATGGGGAGTCGCTGCCTGGGAGGGCAGGTGAACGGGCCCTGCGTGGACACTACCCCTCGGTGCCCCCGGGCTACGAGGCAGCCGGATTAGGAGGGCCTGGGTGTCCGCAGAGCTCCTCTGGGGCCACCGGGCAGACGCCTGCAAACGCCGCTGTCCTGGGCCTGCAGGGCCCCCAGAGCCCCCAAGGCGGGAAGGGCTGACACACAGAGGGGCCCCGCAGAGGTGACCAGCTCCGCTTACAGTGGCTGGCCTGGGCCCCAGGGCCCCTCAGACCCCCCACTCTGCCCTGCATGCTGGCGGCCCTCGCCACAGTGCCTGGGAGAGGTTCCTGAGGCCTCCTGAGGGCAGGCCCAACTCAGAAGGGCAGTGTTGAGGATTTGCAGAGGTCAGGAGGGCTCCAGGGCCAAGCTCTGGCCCCTGGCCACCTGGGAGGAGGCTTAGATCCCTGGGACCATTCCTAGCTGTGTGACCTTGAGCAGGTGACTTCACCTCTCTGAGCCTCCATCCCTCTCCTGGGGGTGGTAACAAGGTGGCTGTCAGAGGCTTCCTTGGGGACCCAGGTAGCACGCTGACACCCTCGAGCTGGTGCCTGGCAGTGGCTGCTATGACACGCCTGTCAGCGCTGTTTGCTGAATGACACCCCCGAGCAGTGTCCGGAACCGCAGTGCTGCCCAGCAGTGGGTCACCTGACCTGCCTTGCCTGCCAGCACCGGGATACGGGCTCGCACGGCCACCTCCCCGGCCACCACGCCCCAGGGCCAGGGCTCACTGCCGGGGTGCTGGCTGTTGAAGGACCCAGTACCAGCCTCACCCTCTCCCATCACGTCTGGGTGACAGGAAGCTCCGCACCCCCCGCCTTCTCCCACCGCAGGCAGGAGCACCCGAGATCTGCCATGTCCCTCGTGCCCCCAGGACTCTGGGTGGTCTCCCCCTGCAGTCTGTGGGGACCCATGGCCAGGTGCCAGTACCATTGACACCCTCAGGGGGCACCAGGACGAGGCCACTCGAGGGTGGATAAGGCCTGAGTCGCAGGCAGGATGGGGTCCCCGCTTCCCCCACCGCAGCGCCTGCGGATGGGCCAGCCTCCTGGGAGCACAGCAGGGTCAGCCTGGAGTCCAGGCCGGTGGCGGGGTCCGGAAGCCAGGGGGTCAAGCTGCCCTGTGGGGCAGATGTACCAGGGCTCCCGGGAGATACCTGTGTCCTGCCCAGGGTGGCCTGGTCGGTGCCCCGAGCCAAGCACAAGAGGTCACAGCAGAGCCCTGCTCCAGCCTCCACCCCAAGGAGAAAGCACGAGGGCAGTGGCTTGGTGCTCCCCAGAGCCGGAGCCGGAGGCACCTCTGTGGGCCGGGAGCTCTCCTCCAGGCCCGGCTCACCTTGTCGGGGCCCACCGGGGGAACTGTCCCAGGTATACGCCTAAGGGTCCTGACTCCTGGCCCAGCCACTGTCTGATCCTGATCCAGCCGCGGCCTGGTGGACGTGACAGGGAATCCTGCCTGTGCCTGTGTCTCCCCAAGCTTCAGGAGCCACAGCACCTTCCAGCGGCCCCACAGGATCCCTGAGTCTACAGACAAAGTCTCCCTGGGGGAGGGGTCCTGAAGGATGACTGTACCCGGCAGGCCACTGGCATCTGACATCTGGTCCACTGGGAGCTGTCAGAGTTTCTCTGAGAACAGCGGCAGGCATAGGGTGGGGGCACAGCTCTCCCGGGGGGTGGGGGGTGCAAGGCTGGCAAGCCCTGGCTGCAGGCCCCCAACAGAGCAGCCCTGAATCCCTGAATCGGCCTTTTGCCCTGCAAGCCAGCAAGACCCTGCAGCCCCACCTTGGAGCGAGGAGCCAGGCAGGCCACAGAGGTGCAGGAGTCCCCCGGGGCCTGTGCTCTGGGACAGACACCGCCATAAGCCAAGGACCATGGCAGCGCATGAGCTCAGCCCCCGGGAGCAGGGGGCAGCTCTCCCAGAAGGTTCCCCACTGCCCACAGGACCAAATCTACCGCCAGGTGCCCGGAGGATCAGGGGAGTAGGCCACCCCTTTCCACCCGCCACCCCTCACTTGCGGCCTCATTGGCCCAGGCTTCCCCACTCTCCCCTCCAGGCTGCCTGCCTCCCGTTACACCTCCTCTGGCCCTCCAGGAAGCCTTCCCTCCTGCAGGCTGGGTTAGGCTCCTGTGGCACCCCGTACCCGCTTCCTCCTGTTGGTCTGCCTGGGCCTCCCCTCGAGCAGTCGGGCACTCCTCCTGCGTCTCTGGTGCCCAGGTGCTCAGGAAAGGGCTGGGGGCAGTCACGGCAGGCGAGCAGGGACACAGGGCAAGAGGGCACTCACATACCACCTGACCCTCCCCGGCGGGTGCCCGCCCTCCTGGGCCCAGCGTCAAGTGGGCACAGCTGTCCACCACTGAGATGGAGATGGGGGCCCGCTCGGCCCTCCCCACCTGCCTTCCCACGGAGGCCCATGTGCCACGTGGGCGCCACGCCATCACGGGCACGCGCAGGCACATGCGAGGCACAGGAAAACCGGAGAGGACAACCCCCGTGCGTCCCCCAGCCGCACTCTCGGCCTACAGACCTTGGGCGGGAGTTGTCCTCCCTCACTGCACCCCTGGGTGCCCTGGTTTCCCTCTGTCTCTGGAGTCTGGAGCTGGTGTCCAAGGTCCCTCCTTCCCTCCCTCCCTCCGGGCCCTGGGCCCCAGCTCCTCTGGGCGGCGTGGGGGCGGGGAAGCAGCTCGCCCCGCCCCCACCCCATGCCTTTGCCCAAAAGGAGCCGGAGTGCAGCCTGACGTCAGGCCAGGAAGGCTTGTCCCAGCATCGTGGAGCAGCTCAGCTGGGCTCCGCCGGGCTCCCCCAGCACAGGTCCGGCAGGCTGCCCACCTCTGGCCGCCCGGGCGGCCAAAGGCACGGTGAGTCCCCCTGGGCTGGTGACCAGCCGCCCACTCTGGGCTCTCCTCAGCTGTCCCTACCTGGTGCCCTCGCTCTCCAGCCAGACATTCGCTGCAGGAAGAGGGTCTGGGAGGCTGCTCCCGGAGGCTGCCCCCAGGGTCAGCTAAAGTGACCAGTGCCCTGCAGAGAGCCACCGCAGGGGGAAACAACCCAGAGGGAGGGGAGGGCTGAGCTGCCCAGGCAGGACAGGGGAAGGCAGCCCCCGGGGTGTGGGCGTCCCTCCTGGTACCCCCTTCTGCACGGCTGGGCACCCACGCCTGCCCACATAGCACTCTCACCGCGCATCTACCGGGGGCGCGAGGCCAGGCCTCGGTCTCCCCCCTGTGGAGGCAAGAGGGTGGCCCAGAGCAGCATTTAGAACTCTGTGGGACGAGGCTCTGAGCAGGGCACACCCCCATCCCACAGCCCAGACCCTTCCCTGCCCTTCGATGGGTGGGAAACTGAGGCTCAGGGCAGGCGTCCCCCCAGGCCCCCGCATGGACCTCAGAGCTGGCATGCTGGCCTGGCTCTTGCTGGTAACTGCCCCGTGAGAAGGCCGCGGGAGCAGGGTCCCAGGGGGTGGTGGGGTGGGGACTGGCCAAGGGCCAGGGTGCTGGACAGGGCAGACAGGGAGCAGCTGGCGGCGCGGCAGGACCGGGCTTGGATGCCCCCCCTGCCCTGTGTTCCTTTCACCCAGAGGTTGTCCTCCCTCTAGGGGCTGCCGGGCCCAACCACGCAGAGCAGGCCACGGGCGAGGTGGGTCTGCTGCAGGACAGTCCTCGGCTGCCCCAATGGGCTCCCTATCTAAAGGGACAGCAGGTGGGGGGGCCTGCCTGGGACATAAAGTCAGTGGGTGTGCGAGGAGCTGCGTTCAGGGCCAGCCCTGGAGGTGGCACGGCCAAGACAAAGCCATGGCCATGCCGCAGCACCCTAAACGCAGAAGCCCTCCCTGCCCCAGGGCCTTTGCATGGCTGTGCACCTCTCACTGCCCAGAGCAGGCCTGGCCTGCCCGTTCCCTCCACCCACCCCAGCTGGGAGCGCTGTGAGGGACAGAGCCTGCCAGGACCATGAGCCCCAGTGCTGGGTTCGAGCCCAAGACCAATGCCCCCCAAAGCACCTGCAGGCCCAGCCTCTGGCTCCTCACAGTGTTAACTCTCGGGAGGAGTTGGTGTGCCCCGTCTGAGCCGGCCCTGGGGCAGTGAGACCAGCAGGTGTGCTGGGGCAGACCTCAAAGCCCGGCTCCTCTACCCAGCTGGTGACCCACACATGCGGCTTAGCCTTCTGTGTCTCAGCGTTCTCATGAGCAAAATGGGGGCGGCAACTTGCTGTTGGGGCATCCTGGGAAGAGTCAGTGAGACAGGCCACTTCAGCAGGTGCCCCAGGCACCTGAGGTCGCGGGGCTCAGGGAGGTCTGCGTGGGGCAGTGACTAGGAGCCGGAGCCTCTGCCAGGTGCAGGGGCCAAGTGCTAGGCTAAGCATCTTCCCGCTGAAGAACCCAGGGAGGCCGGGAGGTACACGGTGCCACGCCTGTCCCGCCGGCCCCTGGGGGCGGAACCTGGGGGGCAGTCAGAGGAGCCCAGAAAGTCAGAGCACGCCCTCCCCACCCCCTGCCAAGGGACCTAGTGTGGCCCCAGTTCTGTTCTCAGGGTCCCCTCAGGGTCCTCGGGCAGGTGCACGTCCTGAGTTTCCAGGCTCCTGGCAGGGGCCCAGCCAGCCGCGAGTGGGGCGCAGGGTGACCCCCAACAGTGCTTGGGGCCTGGAGTGCTGGTGTGGCCCTCAAGCTGGAGGAGTGGGCCCTCAGGAGGGGGCAGGTCAAATGGCTTGAGCTCCTTGTACCCGTGAGGCTATCCCCAGGGCCATGCCCAGCACAGAGGCTCTGAGAAGTCCTGTGTGCATGCTGGCCCTGCCAGCCTCTCCCCACCTACAGCAGGCTAGGCCAGGCCGAGTCCCGCCAGGGCGTGGGAGCAGGAGCCACCAGCACTCTCCATACCCACGTCCCTCTCGGCGGGGTGTCCCCTGTGTTTGGCACCTCCTCCTAGGCCATCGGACACCCACCGACTCTGCCTGGCTGCACTTCCTCATCTGCTCCCTCAGTCAGCAGAAGGGTTCTGGAGCCATTGAGAGAACTGAGGCTCCGAGCAGCGGGACGACTTGCCCAGGGCCTCCCAGGGGCAGACCATACAACCAGCTTGAACCAAAACTGTCTCCCCGAAGAGTGCTGGCAAGGGGAGTGGGGGGAGCACAAGCATGGACCTAACAGTGACGGGTGGGCTTCCTGGAGGAGGTGTCAGTCCCTCTTAGGTGGGAGGACTGGTGAGTACTAAGGGTGGGAGTGGGTACGGAAGCAATTTGAGGCCAGACCAGGTAGGAAGGACACCAAATGTCAATGACAGGCCAGACCTCACCCTGTGTCCCTCAGAGGGTCTCATTCAGGACGTCAGCAAGAGGAGAGAGTGCTTTGTGCAGGGCTGCCTGGGTGTTGGAGGAACAGGCAGGAGCTCCGCCCCCCCAGACCCATCCTCAAGGTGTTCTCAGCCTAGTGGGACATGCTCTGGGGTGGAAGGCATCAAGCCAGCCCAGGGAGGAGAGCGAAGGCTTCCAGGAGGAGGCGAGTCCAGGAGACAGTCCTCCAGGTGGGCAGGGATAATGCTGGGAAGTGCCTAGGCAGAGGTGGCAGCCACAGCTGTGCCGTGCCGGGGCCGGCAGAGGATGGCACACAGTGGGGAGGTCACCCCAGCACCTGCCAGGGGACCCTCGCCCCGTGCCCCATCTCTGAAGGCCAAGAATCTGTATGGGTGCTTGGGGTGGCCACCTGGAGGCCGGGGGTGGAGGAAGAAGGCAGGCAGCATGCCGCCCTCCTTGCCACCTACGTCAGGAGAACTGAGGCTCGGTGAGGACCTGCCCAGAGCGCCCCAAGGCCACTGGGGCAGCAAGAGGACCAGGAGCCTGGGGTAAGGAGGCCGTCGAGGTCGCCTCTACCAGAGCCTCCCTCCCAGGAACTGAAGCCCAGCCAGGCCCCACTAGGTGCCGGTGCTCAGGAAGGCCCCGGCCAGCGCTCACCCGTCTCCCGTAGTCCCCAGAGCTGAGCACCTGCTCCGAGCTGGATACATCAGCACCACCCCACGGGGAATTCCAACTCACTGTACAGGTGGGGAACTGAGGCCCCGAAGCTGTAAGGTCACATGCTCTGTTCAGAATAGCCAGTCCAACAATGGACAGGGTAGTCCAGGCAGGGCTGGTCCTACTGATGGCCACATTCCTGGTCCCCCCACCCTGCAGGGTCTCTCTCATGACTAAGCCCCAGAGAGCCAACCCTGGTGCCTCGGATCTGGCCCCTCTGCTCAAGCCAGGGAAGTGTCTGTCTGTGGGTAGGTCAGTGGCCCAAGGACAGGGCTCAGAGTGACCGGGGTCAGGGTTCAGAGTGACCAGGGTCAGGGCTCAGTGAGTGACAAGGGACAGGGCTCAGAGTAACCGGGGTCAGGGCTCAGAGTATGAGCAGGGTCAGGGCTCAGAGTAACCTGGGTCAGGGCTCAGAGTGACCAGGGTCAGGGCTCAGTGTGAGCAGAGTCAGGGCTCAGAGTGTGAGCAGGATCAGGGCTCAGTGAGTGACCAGGGTCAGGGCTCAGCATGTGACTGGGATCAGGGCTCAGAGTGTGAGCAGGGTCAGGGCTCAGTGTGAGCAGGGGCAGGGCTCAGAGTGTGAGCAGGGTCAGGGCTCAAAGTGACCAGGGTCAGGGCTCAGAGTGACCAGGGTCAGGGCTCAGTGAATGACTGGGGTCAGGGCTCAGCATGTGACTGGGATCAGGGCTCAGAGTGTGAGCAGGGTCAGGGCTCAGTGTGAGCAGGGTCAGGGCTCAGAGTGTGACCAGGATCAGGGCTCAGTGTGAGCAGGGTCAGGGCTCAGTGTGAGCAGGGTCAGGGCTCAGAGTGTGACCAGGATCAGGGCTCAGTGTGAGCAGGGTCAGGGCTCAGTGTGAGCAGGGTCAGGGCTCAGTGTGAGCAGAGTCAGGGCTCAGAGTGTGAGCAGGGTCAGGGTTCAGTGAGTGACCAGGGTTGGGGCTCAGTGTGAGCAGGGTGAGGGCTCAGAATATCACCGAGAGACTGATTTGTCACTGAGATTGTGACTTGGTGTGTGACCCACTCTGGGACACACTGGGACCAAGAGCAGGGCTCGGCCATGTTTGAAGTCAGAGTCAAACTCCCGGCTAGACACCCATGTGCTCTGCCATCTCGCTGGACCCGGTGGCCTGGCTTCAGGGTGTCCTGCACACCTGTCCTCCCGCACCTGTGCTTCACAGCACAGGCCTGGACACCCAGCACCTCAGCGGCTAGCTATTGAGCTCGTGAGGCTGGCCCTGGGGAGCTGCCTGGGAGGGCAGGACCCCGGAGCCACGTCATCCTGGGCCTGGCTCCCAGCGGAAACATCGGTGATGTTTATATAAATGTCTGATCACAACACTAACACAGGCCCAGTGTGGACAGTGGAAAACCAGAGGCGAAGGGCGTCCGAGATGTGGTTCTTGCTACGCTGCACCCCAGGCCACCTCGGGGTCCTCGCCGGGCCTCTAGGCTTCTGTTGATAGCAAAGAAAGGGCCTGTTGGATCGCCTCTTTCCCCTCCGGGGACCTGGGGGCCTCCCTGCTGCCCAGGTGCACCCAGTCCCACCCTGGGCCCAGCCTCATCACTCCCCCTGCTGCCTGCCAAGACCCCACAGCATGTCTTTCCCTGCCCCAAACTCCATCTCTGGGAGCAGCCAGGGCTGGAGGAGGGGCAGCCAACCCATCGGCAAACACGCCCAGCAACACCTGAGTGGGGCTGGCGGGAACCAGCAGACCGGGGGCCCACAGGCAGTGGGGGTGGCAGGGGTGCCAGGTACGGGCGGACTGGACAGCTAGCAGCCTCCAGGGCGGACACCCAGAGCCATTTGGCTCACTGGGCAACCGCGGGCAGAAGCTGGCCTTGAAGCCTGAGGGTAGAGGTGGCCTCCTCTAGACCCATGGGAGGCAGGGGTGTGACTGCAGACAGAGGGCACCTGCGGCCTGAGCCCCACGGCCCGTCAGTGGGAGCGTGTGATGTTCAGCCCCTTTGCAGCCACAGCCACCGGGACAGCTGTCAGGCCTCCCTCCCCTCAGGTGCGTAGGGCGCCTTGGGCCCGAGCGTCCTGTGTGCCCGCCTTCCTCCCAGCCTCACCCCAAAGGCTTCTCCTTTCTCTTAAAAAGCCAGAAATGTCCTTATTTGGAGGGTCAGCCCTGCTGAGTGGGTGGGTCCATTAACCCCTCAGTTATAAATAAAGGGATAAATCAGGCTGAGTTAAACACGCTGGGCAGAAACGTAAACAGCGTGGGCGGCTCCGGCCCCCCACCCCGGCCTCCCCGATACCCCTGCCCCGCCACGCTGACTGGGAGCACAGTGTTTATTTGACTCACACCCGGCCAGCCTGCCTGCCGTGGAGACCTGGCTCCAGGCTCCGGCCCAGAGAGCCACCCTGCGTAGGCCTGGGGCTCCCCCCTGCAGGCTGGGGTGTCAGTCAGGGTGCTCCCCTCAGGCTGGTGGGGCCGGGGATGACCAGCAAAACCAGCCTCAGCCCTTACCCAGGGCCCCCGGCTCCCTTGGAGAAGGTCCCCACAAGCACCTTTGCCCAGGAGTGGACAAGGACAGTCGATGGCAGCCCAGCCCTCCCCTGGTGGGCCAGGCTCTGTCCCAGCCTAACCAGAGTGCCCACTACCACCGTGTGTTGGGTGCGCCAGGCCCCTCCTCCAGGCTAGCTGGGTAGTCCTCCCTGATGACGCCCGGCCAGTGAGCAGCAGGGATGGGAGCCAGGCCCACATCATGTTTGAGCATCCTGTCCCTTCATCTCTTTCTCAACCCCGAGGACCTTCTGCAGAGCAAGCATCCCACCTCCCGGAACAGCAAGGGTGGCCTCAGAAACCTCAGCATTGCACCAAAGCACACACTGGCAGTGCCGGACTGGGATTTGAACTCGTGTCTGGTTCCAAAATCCTGAGTCTTTTCTGCTGGTTCACAAGGCTTGGTCTGCAGGGAGCAGAGAGCAGGCGCTGCACAGAGGGGGCCGGTGCTGGAGGGCAGGTGGCCACAAGGCTGGGCCGCCAGGCGGGGCTCTGAGCCAGGCCAGCACGTTGGACAACCCATCTCCTTGCTTCCAGGCCCAGGGCATGCTGGCTGCCGTCATGTCCTCCAGGTCTCCAACGGGGTCCTCGGCCACGGCGGCCCCCAACATCACGGCGGCCCCCGGCGCCACAGCAGGAGAGGCATGGGCCAACAGCAGCACGCCGGAAAAGCCGCTGTTCCACCTGTTTGCCCTGCTGGACGAGGAGCTGCACGCCGCCTACCCCGGCCTGTGGCTGGCCCTGATGGCTGTGCACGGCGCCATCTTCCTGGCGGGGCTGGTGCTCAACGGGCTGGCGCTGTACGTCTTCTGCTGCCGCACGCGGGCCCCCACGCCATCTGTCACCTACACCATCAACCTGGCGGTGACTGACCTGCTGGTGGGCCTGTCGCTGCCCACACGCTTCGCCGTCTTCTACGGGGCACCCGGCTGCCTGCGCTGCGCCTTCCCGCACGTGCTCGGCTACTTCCTCAACATGCACTGCTCCGTCCTCTTCCTCACCTGCATCTGCGTGGACCGCTACCTGGCCATCGTGCAGCCCGAGGGCTCCCG